CTTCCTTCCTTCTTTCCTTCCTTCCTTCTTTCCTTCCTTCCCTCCTTCCTTCCTTCCCTCCCTCCTTCCTTCCTTCCTTCCTTCCTTCTTTCCTTCCTTCCTTCCTTCCCCCCTTCCTTCCCCCCTTCCTTTCTCCTTGCCCAACATGGGGCTTGAACTCACAACCCTGAGATCAAGAGTCCCATGCTCTAACGACTAACCCAGACAGGCTCCCCTCAACATAAATTTTCTTAATTAATTCTCACTGTGGTGGGAACAGAAGCCCATAAGGGTTCAGTAACCTACCGACATTCCTAAAAAGTTAGTGGCACAATAAAAACAAGGAAGCAGGTCTACACTAGTGTATTTTCCACCACACACATAACCAAACTTACAGGGTATATTTGATTTGAGATACTAGGAAGGACTGGGACTTTAAGGCTTTTGCAACACAAGTACTATATAAAAATAACACAATTCACAACTTCTAGTATCTTTGCTTCTCTAACTTGTAAAATTTAAAACCAGTCAAAATACAAGCATTATTTGATTATACTTACTTATGTTTTGGTATCTAATATCAGCACTTCCTTTTATAAATATATTCTCATTTTGTAAACAGTTTGCTCATTATAATATCATCATAGTACATGCACTCATCACAAAATTTTAAGAAAGAGGTCTACAGTCCACAATATCTACAGATTTCAATAGCTTGAAAATAATTTCCGTAATATTACATTTTCAACATTATAGGAAGTAACTATTATTGAAGTAAAGCTCAACCTTAAGGGAAAAACCAAAAGATAGTTGACACAAAAGAGAATTAACTTTCTTAAAAGGCCAAAAAGTGAACCCAACATTGCATAAAAAGCAAGCTTGTTTCATCCTGGTTTTCTTGTGCTTTGAACAACATGAACAGAACAAATTAGACTGCTGTAAGCAAAGAGTATCAGAATCCATTTCATGATTTATGCTTGATTTTCTGGGTTTGCTGTCTCTGGTCAGGATATAATTAAGAGGCAGGCCCTCACATAAATAGCTGACATCACTGGTCAATTGAGGAAGCTGCAGCCAACCACATTCCCCTCACTGTTTCTCCCACTGTTGTGCTTGTCAACACAAACTTCAAGTTATTGTCTCCAAAATGAGATCAATACCAGCACTGGTAAGAAACACTTGAACTTTCAGCAAGAGAAATTACTTTACCTAAATGACTATATCCAGACTGATTTACCGAGGTCTAAAAAACAAACCAAAAATAAAACAAGTAAAAATAAAAAATCTAAATAGTGCTTCTGATTCGGAGTTCTGTGAGCGTGGGATATAGGATCCATCACCCTAGGGCTCCGTGGCAGGCAGAATGGGGAGTGCTACATGGCAGGCAGTGGTGAGGCCTGGCTCGGGGCCTCACTCCTGTTTCTTGCACATCTGCTTATCTCTTGTATGTGACAGGCCACTGAAGAGCAATTCGTAATTAATAAGGAACAGTGTTTTACTATAATGTTGTAACTACCAAAGGACTTCATATTATTATGTGTAAAAATAGTTAAACAAGATACATAAGCAAAAGGGATGCAAATGTCTAAAAAAAAAGTCAATTTTTGAATGTTAAGCTTGATTCTTAAGTTTGGTGACAGTGCTCCTTGTAGATGTTCAGACTGCGGTATGACTGAGCGAGCAAGCCTCTACCAGTCAAACTCCACTCTGTTCTTTTAAGTGACAGGAGCTGCCATTTGAAGAACAAAGAAGGCTTTAGTTTCTAGTTGCAACAGAAGTGTGCTATGTGACTGATTAAACCAACTGGGCAGTTACAGAATAATGTGCCTAAGTCATTACATACACCAGCTCAACGTCCACTGCGGTCTTCCCGTAGTACGGGAAGGGGCAGGGGCAGTAGTTTTTAGGCATGCCCCGCTCCTGGGCAGAGGACAGCCTGCAGACTCCCGGCGGGCTATACCTTTACCTACCTGGGGCACTAGTAAGGTTTCCCGACATGATTTCCAAAAGGACCGCCTCCGGAAGACTGCATTTCCAGGAGGGACGCCAAAGCCTCCCAGGCGCGCTTTCCCCGGCACTGCAATGTCATTCCCAGAAGTACTACCTTCAGGAGGCGGGTCCTGGTGGGAATGATATCACAGTATGACAAAGACTGTCAGCACACCTGCGAATAGGCACAGGAGAGTGGGTAACAGGACATCTGCACAGCGGCAGTCACAGCGATGGACATTCTACTTCCAGCTGTACCTTATTTCTTTGGTCTTCTTGAAGATGGGTTTTCCTTCCTTTTCCTCTCCAATATCAAAAAGGTCTGAATATAACTCCTTGTTCTTATGGTCTACCTGGAAAAGTGCACAACGATCGGCATTCACCAGATTTTTTGCATATATCTAAAGACAAACAATAAAACGAGAGTAAGCCAATGAGAAATTCAGAGTTTAAAGGCAAACTTTACCAGAAATAAATATAAATTTCAGCTGATCTATACTCTGCGTGGAAAACTGGCACTGTAACTCAACAAAGAGAGGTATACGAATACAAACACTGCACGTCCCTGTTAACACGCTGACGTTGGCAGACACCGCTGCTCTGCGCAGGTGCCCCGGGCTGGGTGCTGAAACACTGCAGGACCATCCTGGGGGCCGGAGAGCAGCTGCTGGCCTCCCTCCCTCCGAGCCCTGCTGCACCCCGGCCTCGCTTCCAGGACCTCCAGGCCTCTACCCTCACGCCCGGTACCAGCCCTGTCAGCTCTAAGGCCGGAGTGCATTCTGACTGGCAGGCATTTGAGATACAGCAGTCGTGAAAAAATATGAAATACAACTTCTAACGAGGTTCATATTTACATTTGTTGCATTTTACTTGCTGCGTTAATAATAACGTGCAACAATTATCGAGTGTCTACTGTGTGTGCCAACTCTCACACCTTTATGCGTCTTCCTTCACTTAATCCCCACAATCACAATATTAAGTCAGGGAATATTTTTATCTCCACTGTACATGTTAGGATAATTGAGGCACAGAGGTAACTAGACTTGTCCACTATCACATGGCTAGTAAATGGCAGATAGGGTATTTGAACTCATACTAGTCGTTTTCATGGCCCATGCTCTTAAAACAAGTACGCCTTTTCATTTCTAATTGGAAAACTGTGTATTCATTTGTCATTCACTTGTTCATCAATTTCCTTCCACAATTATTTCTTTAACGCCTAAAATATCCCACTGTCCTTTGTGGGTTGAGACCACAGTTACGGTTCAATTAGCATATTTACCTGGATTAAGAATTCTGGCAACTTCAACCCTCCAGATTTTAGACATGAAATTATTCTCCAGAGAAAAGAGCTGATTCTCAGAGAAAAACAGCCATCACAGTCTATGCAAGAGGGACATGGGCCACCTTGTGGCCAGAGGAAAATATAAAATCTCATGTAAAACTACAGATTTAATGAAAAGAAATCAGCACAGTTTAGGTACCCTGGTTCATCCTCATAGTTTATACTTGTCTTTATAAACTGTACTCACTCACTCAAAAAATACTGGCTATGCCGGGGACTGAGTACATTGGGTATTATCAGTACGATAACTGACAATTTGTCTCTTTCCATTATCCCGTGAATTCTGTGACACAAGAAACTGCTTCTTTTTCTCCCCATAATATTCCAAAAACCCAGCACAACACCTAGAGTAGAGGTCAGCTAACTAAAATCCATCTGCCAAATCTAGTCCATTGTCTGTTTTTATAAATAAAGTTTTATTGGGAAAGAACTATGTTCATTCCTTTATGTATCGTTTAAGGATGCTACAATGGCAGAGTTGAGTGACTGCAATAGAGTACGGTCCATGAAGCATAAAACTTTACTATTCGACCCTTAACAAAAAACATCTGCCAACCCTTTAGAACATATAAGATCTCCATAACCTAAGAACCCTCAATAAATATTTGAGGAAGGATGAATGACATAAAGTTAGGGAGACAGTAATGGCAAACAGAAGAATCACCCATCTATTCTGCAAACTCATGGGATCTTGAATTATTAAATAATAATAATGATCCTACACTATTAGAGATTACATTATGAAGCGGAATTTGCATCCCTATTGCCTAGGTCATGTTAATTGCTTAACACTTTGGCACATATTTATATTAATATTTATAAACATCTGAATGGAATGGACAATTTTCTAGAAAACGGAAATGTATTGAGAAGGAGTTGAAAAATCTGAAGACAACTGTACAACTGTCAAAGAATTATCCCCATAAAAGGTCTCAGGCTCAAATGATTTCAAATATGAATTATTTAAGAATCTTCAACAAATAAATTCGCATCCAATTTACAGTGTTCTATGTTCAGAAAGAACAAAACTTTTTCAGTTATTTTTAGAACCCTTGCTAAACTACTGATACTGAAAATTGACAAAGATACTATAAAAAAAGAAAATCACAAACCAATTTATCTTGGAAACAGAAGAAAACTCATAAATAAAAATTTTTAGCAAATCAAACTTAGGAATAAATTAACATATTACAATATTTAAAAATTATACTTTATTCAGAACTGTTCAGCATCATAAACTCTATTATTTCATAATACAATAAAACAAAGGAAAACAAATCACACAATTACCTTCATGGTTGTCAAAAATGCATGTGATGCAATTCAGCAATCATTCATGATAAAAACTTTAGTAAAATGGAATAGAAGGATATATGTACGTGTGTATATATACCCATATCGAAGCCCCTACAATGTCTGGCTTTGAACACCAACAGGGCTTATACCCAGTAGACCCAGCGGGCTCCCATGCAGACTTACTTGCCCAGAGACCAGCACAAAGCAGCAGGTGGAAAAGCTCCTAGAATGTATGTGAAGGAGATTCACTTACTAATTTTAAAGTGTCTGCCAGATGGGCAAGAGCCTTTTGGGACACAAAAGTGCTGGTGGGTGCCATTTTTTCACTCCCCTATTACCTTGACAGCGCTGGTGGGCCACACTCTGGCCCCGCGCTCTCCCGTGGCCCTGTCAAAGCTGGTGGGTGCACCCCAGCCCAGTGCTCTCCCTCAGCCTCGCTAAAGCTGGCAGGGTGTAGGAAGTCTGTTCAGGGGATGCCCCTTGATCATCTGGCTGGGGAGGCTGACGGAGGCGGGGAGCTTGCGTTCCTGGGTCCTATAGGATTGTGACCACCGGAAAGACCGTTCTCGGCAGGCTACCACCCTAGGGCACTACACAGACAGCAGACTGAAACACACCCTTAGTCTTCCTGTGAAGAAGGCCTATTTACTTGTCCTGGCACCTCAACCTGAGGAGCAGACTTAGGTTTGCCACACATCAAGAGACTACGGAGGCGCCATCTGGGAAAGCAGGGTGGGGACGCCATCTTTGTGCTCTCCCTTGGTCTTGCTACAGCTTGCCAGTTCCTCTCAGAAAGGAGCTGATATACTTGTCTGGAGCCCCGATTTTTACAGTTGTCACCAATTTTTACAGATCACCTGGTCTGGAGGCCAGCAGGGTTCACGACTGTGGTCCCACAGGACTGTATATATCTGCATACTTCAAAAGCTGGTGCCTGACACTCTTGGTTCCAATCAGCCAGAAACCAGGTGCTGACTGAAATCTTTCCCTGTGCAACACTATTAGGTCTTGACACACCCTCAACAACGGGGACCTATCAGAATAAATCAGCCTCCTCAGATAACCACAAAGGTTTGAAAGACAACCAAGCACTAGGGCAAGTTGAATGATAAGGTTCACTGCCTGCACCAGGTCACTCCTTCAAGACCGGGAGAGGCAGCTGTTTCACCTAATATATAGAAACAAACACAGAGAGTCAAGCAAAATGAAGAAAACAGAGGATATGTTCCAAACAAAGGAACAAGATAAAACCTCAGGAAGAACAACTAGTGAAATGGAGATAAGTAACTTACCTGATAGAATCCAAAGTAATGGTCATAAAGATGCTCACCGAACATGGGAGAAGGACAGATGAACACAGTTGAGAACTGACATCCTAATCAATGATAAAGAGCTGAAAGGTTTTCCTCTAAGATCAGGAATAAGACAAGGATACCCACTCTCACCACTTCTGTTCAACACAGTATTGAAAGTTCTAGCCAGAGCAGTGAGGCAAGAAAAAGAAATAAAAGGCATTCAAATTTGATAAAAAGAAGTAAAACTGACATGCTTTTACATATAAAAAGCCCTAAAATCTCCACCAATAAACTATTAGAATTAATGAACAAATTCAGTAAAAAGTTGTAGGGTACAAAATGAACATAAAAAAATCTGTTGCATTTCTTCCTTTTTTTTTTTTTTTAAAGATTTATTTAATTGGCAGGGGGCATGGGCAAAAGGGAGAGGATCTTTAAGCAGACTCCCTGCTGAGTGTGGAGACCAATGCTTCTGGGCTTGATCTCATGACCCATGAAATTATGACCTGAGCTGAAACCAAAAGTCAGATGCTTAATCCGACTGAGCCACCTAGGTGCCCCCTGTTGCATTTCTATATACCAACAACGAATTATCATAAAGATAAATTAAGAAAACAATCCCATTTACTATTACATCAAAAGAATAAAATACCTAGGAATAAATTTAATCAAGGAAGTGAAAGACCTGTACACTGAAAATTTTAAGACACTGATGAAAAAACTGAAGACACAAATAAATGGAAAGATACTCCATGCTCATGGATTAGAAGAATTAATATTGTTAAAATGTCCATATTACCCAAAGCAATCTACAGATCTGATGCAATCTCTATCAAAATTCCGATGGAATTTTTCACAAACTAGAATAAAGAATCCTAAAATTAGTATGCAACCACAAAATATCTCAAATAGGCAAAGCAATTGTGAGAAAGAACAAAGGTGGAAGTATCATGCTGCCTGATTTCAAACTTATTACAAAGCTATAGAAATCAAAACAGAATGGTTTTGGCATAAAAAGAGAAATGTAGATCAACTGAACAGAATAGAGAGTCAACACATATATGGTCAATTAATTTATGACAAAGAAGGCAAGAATATAAGTGGAGAAAGGATAGTCTCTTCAGTAAATGGTGCCAGGAAAACTAGAGAGCCATGATGGAAAAGAATGAAACTGGACTAATATTTTATAATATAAAAAAATTAACTCAAAATGGAATCCATTTAATGGAATGGAAGACCTGAAGCCATAAAACTCCAAGAACAAAACATAGGCAGTAAGCTCTTGGACACTGGTCTTGGCAATGTTTTTGTTTCTTTGTTTTTGTTTTTGGATCTGATTCCAAAAGCAAAGGCAACAAATGCAAAAATAAGTGGGACTACTCAAGCTAGAAAGGCTTCTGCACAGCAAAGGAAACCATCAACAAAACGAAGAGGCAACCTACTGAATGGGAGAAAATATTTACAAATCATATCTGGTAAGGGACTAATCTCCAAAATACATAAAAAAATGCATACAACTCAATAGCAAAAAATAAACAACCCAATTAATAAATGGGCAGAGGACCTGAAAGGCATTTTTCCTAAGAAGATTTGCAGATGGCCCAGAGGTATATGAGAAGATGCTCAGCATCACTAATCATCAGGGAAATGCAAACCCAAACCACAATGAGGTATCACCTAAATCCTGTTAGAAGGGCCAGTATCAAAAAGATAAGAACTATCAAGTGCTGGAAAGGATGTGGAAAATTGGGGAACTCCTGTGCACTGTTGATGGGAATGTAAATTAGTGTAGCTACTATGGAAAACAGTACAGAGGTTCCTAAAAACATTAAAAATAGACCTACCATATGACCCAGGAGTTCTTCTTTCAGGTATTTATCCTAAGAAAACAAACACTAACTCGAAAAGCTATACCTGCACCACCATGTTCTCTGCAACATTATTCACAATAGTCAAGATATGGAAACAACCTAAGTGTCCACCAATGGATGAACGGATAAACTGTGGTATATGTCTATACGACGGAATACTATTCAGCCATAAAAAAGAAGGAAATCTTGCCTTTTGTGACAATACAGATGGATCTGAAGGCTATTATGCTAAGTAACATAAGTCAAATACTATTTGGTCTCACTCATATCTGGCACCTAAAAGACAAAACAAACAAATAAAACAAAACAAAGTTCATGGATAGAAAGAACAGAGTGGTGGTTGCCAGTGTGGAGGGGGATGGAGGTGGACAAAATGGACGATGAGGGCGGAAGATACAGACTTCCAGTTGTGAAATGAATAGGTCATGGAGGTGTGGTGTTTAGCATGGTGACTATACTCAATGGTATTACAGCACATATTTGAAGGTGGCTGGGAGAGTGGATCTTGAAATTTCTTATCACAAGAAAAAAATCTGGGGGGGTAACTTTTTATGGTGATGTTTGGTGACTAGACTTATTATGGTGATCATTTCGTCCTGTACACAAGTGTTGAACTGTTACGTTGTACACCCGAAACTAATGTTGTTTGTCAATTACACCTCAATTAAAAAAAAAAAAACGACAACTAGGTAAGAAAATACATATTTGATAAGAGAATTCTACTGTTCAGTGATAATGTTATTATGTTGAAAAATCAACTGAAGAACAATTACAGGTAGTGAGAAAGGCTTCTGTTCAGAGATTAGTGATTCTGAACATATGTTTACATTTTCATTCTCCCCAAATATTAGGCTTTCAGTCTGAAATGGCGCTCTCACACGCTGAAAAGGAATAGAGAAATTCTAGACACCTTTTGGGAATATTTATGAGCTCCAAGAATCAGAAGGTCATTCTAAAAGCCACCCGCCTCTCCTATGCAGGCACGCGCACGCACACACAGAGGTTTACTCGTAAGTGGAAAACAATTTCCAGTAACAAGAATGGATTTAAAATTCAGTGAAAACAAGAACACTGTTGGATGGAAGCAGCGAGAGTAACAAATTTTCCTCAATGTGTACACTTCTCCTACCTAATTGTTAGGAATGTTTGTTGGAGGTCCCCAGCAGATACTGCGTAACTTTTCCTTCTATTCCTAATTTGCTGTTGAGTTTGCAGTTATTGGGTATTGAGCATTATAAAATTGTTGTATGCCATTATTAAAATGATGTAATTTTTCTTCCTTTACTCAATTAGAATAAGGAATTATATTACTTTATTACTTACTGTTGAACCACTCTTGCATTCCTGGGGTGAATGCTGTTTAGCTGTGATGTAATCTTTACTCCTGGGTTTGTTGTTACTATATATTTCTGACCTTTGCATCAATATTTTGCTCAATGGCTTTCCTTTTCTCTATCCTTGGATAACACCGGCATTAGGTCGAAAAGCCAGATGGTAGCCAGCGTTGGTGAGAATGTGGGGAAACCAGAACCTATGTGCACTGCCAGTGGGAACATAACATGGTGCAGCTGCACAGAAACAGTCTGGCCGTTCCTCGAAGAGTGAACCACAGAGCGCCTGGGTGGCTCAGTTGGTTGAGCGACTGCCTTCGGCTCAGGTCATGATCCTGGAGTCCCGGGATCGAGTCCCGCATCGGGCTCCCTGCTCGGCGAGGAGCCTGCTTCTCCCTCTAACCCTCCCCCCTCTCATGTACTCTCTCTCTCATTCTCGCTCACTCAAATAAATAAATAAATCTTTAAAAAAAAAAAAAAAAGTGAACCACACACTAACATACGACCCAGCAGTTCCACTCCTAGGTACACACCCAAACCAACTGAATACAATTAAAAAAATGTATACAGATGTTCAAAGTAGCACTTTCACATTAGCCAAAATGTGGAAACAAGCCAAATGTTCATCAGCCAACGAAAGGATAAAAAAGAGTAGTCGTTCTGGTACTTGCTACAGCCTGGGTGGACTTTGAAAACAGTGTGCTAAGTGAAAAAAAGCCAGGCACAAAAGGCCATACGTTACGTGATCTCTTTTATGTGAGATGTCTAGAATACGTAAATCCATAGAAAAAGAAAGTAGATTAGTGGTTGTTTAGGACTGTTGGGGGGGTTGGAGGGAGGGAGGAGGATGGAGGCATAAGTAAGTGATGGCTAAAATGATATGGAGTGTTGTTTTGAGGTAATGAACATGTTCTTAATTGATTGGTGATGGTTGCACATATCTTTGAATATACTAAAAACCACTGAATTGAACACTTTAAATGGATGAAGTGTGCTGTGTAATTATATCTCAATAAAACTGTTTTTAAAAAGAAAATATTAATAATACTAGTCAACAAGTATTTCTTATACTCCTAGTCAAGCTATGTCAATCCAGATATTTATATTTTTACAGTTTTCTTAATATTTTTCACTTCTTTACAAACTCCTTAAATTTTGTCATAGCCAAACAAATGATTTTTTAATATGCAATTAAGAACTCTTTTTCATCCAAATAAAACTATCAATATAACTAATTAAATAAGGAATGGGTTTGAAAGCAATAAATAACCCCTAATGTTACTAATTCCCTTCATAAACTTTCAGTCTCTACAAGACACGGAGCATATAATACTCCATACTCAATTGCCATGATTTCGAAGAGCAAAACATCAGTGTGTATCATGAAGCCTGGAGATAAGCCTATAATAAACCCATAACTTACTGCACAGGATTACTATCTGTTGAGAAAAGACCAGGAAAATGAGACGGAGAAAGAACCCTTGTCAAAATACACAACAGGACAAGAATGGTGCCAAGCAAGCCTGACAACCTGTGGAGTGCACATACAGGTCACTTTGGCTGTAAGCCGCTTCTTTAAAGGAGTCTCGCCAGAGAACTAAAGCAGCAACACAAGAAAATATGGATAAAACTCTACTTCCTATGGCTTTCAGCTTCAAGTGCCTATTAGTCTTCCAGATAGAGAGGAATAATTGAGATTAAAACTAAACAGAATGGACCTTAAGATCAAGAAGAGTCAGTTGGGAATTCCTAAGGTCAGTCGGTAGGCAAAAGGTATTTTGGAGAGTATAAAAAGGAACTAAATGTTTTTTCAAAGTATAGCTCACCACTAAATAATGAAAAACTCAGATGTTTTTCCAAAAGTTATTCAAAATACCTCCAAAATTAATCAAAAGTGACAAATAAATCAAAGCAACACCTCCGCTCACTAAGCACCATCTTTTCATCGTACTTAAAACACTTTATACATCAAATACATGAAAATATTCTACTACGTATTAGGACATGAATCTAACAGTTAAATACAATCATTTTCAAAATAAAAAGCAGCCTACCATTATGTGTTCAAGTAGAGAGTCTATTGCGACTATGTTATCAAAATATGTCCTGAAAAAAAGGAACATAAAACTGGTAATTAATCTAAATAACAACATAGAACATATTAAACTGAATACATTTCCCATTTTCGTGTACATTTAAGCAAAAAATGTAAAGATATATGTTGATTTCTGTCCTTTTGTGGAAGCAACCAATAACATTACTTTAGAGAGAGAAATAAAACTTTATCATTAACCTTGGTATGAAGTCTCTAATTTCAGAGGATGAATTAAGTAATATTTTATTGGTAAGTACCTATTTTGAGAGAAAGTTTGTAGCATTTAACTAAAACTATGAAGGGATAAAATTGGGCTCACCATATTTAATATTTTCATGAATATCTGAAATAAAAATATTTAAATTTGCTAAATCTCATTAATACTGTTAAAATATAAATTATCACTGAAAAACTGGAAAGTTAAAATGTTAAACTGTGCTGAGAAAGCAATGTAATTCATTTGAGAAGTAATACCAGAATACAAGAAATGATAATAGCCTACTGACTTTGCACAAGTAAATTATATATATTCATTACTATAAACAGCAAGTAAATATTTTGGAGATATATGGCACCTACATTAAAATGTCAACCTGATCAACAGATGAATCAGTAAGCATGTATTTCGGGGACTGCGTTAATCTAGGATCTATTGGCAAGGTACTGCTTTCACTTTAGGTTCCTATGAATTTAGCAATGTACTCAGAATTAAGGTAACTTAATAATGATAAACAATGCCTTTTGTTGAGAAGACTACATTTCCTCTTCAGCTTGGAGCCAGCAAGACTTAGCACATGCTTAATCACTCTGTGCACAGAGGAACGTACAGCAAGGAATATGGTAAAGTCAAATGGGTTTCCCCTAGGGGAGAGACTTACAGGGATCTAACAGGACCGTGGGAGACTTGCAAGATATTCAAATACACTAGCAAAGGAAGGCGCACAGCTTCTCTTTCTATGTGTTCTGAAGTAGTAACATCATGTGTCCCATAGACACTGTTTAATTCTCTCTCTCAGAGACATAGCTGACCTATGGGATCAAATGAGAGCCCTCTCACTCTCATGGTTCCCTAATTTCATATTTCAAGAAATACATGTAACACAAAGCAGCAACTCCAGACTAATTAGTGATGGGATTACAACACTTGTGAACGATAAGTTATTAAGTGCTGCCAAAGTGATCTACGAGAGAGAACATGGTCAGAGCTGCTGCTGGTGGAAGAACAGGTACGTTATTCTTCTATTAACTTGCCAGGGACCGTGACCCTGAAGTGACCACATCTTGGGGAATTATTTTAGATTTCAGGAATTCAGTAGATGGGTCAGATCTATGGATAATCTTCCTTGTAGCAGGCAAAACCAGTTATGAACCTCGAATGTAATAAATATCTATAACTGCTTTCACTGCCAGCCCAAGGAGGTTTTTCTAGGTCAAACTTCAGAGAAATGGAACATTTTCTCTAAAATGATAACTGGGCTACCATACATGGGAAAATTAAAATAATACTACCGATAATACGGTTTACTTTACTGACATTTGTAGAAAATGCCAGAGAGGACTTTTTGGAAAGTAATAAACTAAAACATTTCCTCTTCTACTGTTCTCAGTTTTCTCCTACAAAAATAGAAATACTTAGTGTCCTTAACATGCTCTAGTGAGTCTATTTAGAAAATATACACCAAATTGCAAATTAACATTATCACATATAAATCTGCAGTCCTTCACTTGTAAAGTGAACACAGATGAGAATGTAACTTCACGGTCCGAAATATGAACTTTCTTACCAGACGACTTACTGACTGCAGTGGACAGTCAGTCGCTGTCCGAGCCTGCACTTAACTTAAACCACTGATCAAGAAGACCTACCTCAACCCTAGAAACGAACACTTACTTTGATACATCAAGTAGGAAGTCATTCAATTCAGTCTGTTTAGCAAGGCCTCTGCATACCTACCATAGAAAATAATGGCTATTAATCATAAGAGATTTCTGCTTATTTAAAATAACAATTCCTGAATACTATTTACTTTTTTTATTTTAAAAGACTTATAAAGCAGTAATATTATTAGTAAGAAGTCATATTTATCAAATGTTTAAATGTGTTAAGCTCTGTTCTATGCGCTTTAGCGTTACTGTCTCATTTAATCATCACAAAACACTATAGATTTGGGGTTTACTTTTATAATTGAAGCATAAAGAAGTTCAGAACCATGCTCCCACTCCGGAATTACTAAGTGATGGAGCCAGCATTCAGATCCAGGGAGTCTACCTCCAGAGTTGCTCTTTAAAACTTCTTTCCACTTTAAAAAATGACACTTGGTGGGTGGTGGTGTATGTGCCCACCACCCACTTGGGCACATATTCCACTTATACTTGCTATGGTCGGATCTGAGAGGTCCTTGCTCCTCATACTATTATCCTGTAACTACGTACTTTATCTCCTCCCCTCACAAACCGTGAGTGTGCTGAAACGGATTTAAAAAACAAAACAACAGTGAAAAGAAGTGGAGGGTACAAAGCTCCTGTGTCCATGAACCTCGAAGTCCAGTTGCCAGGAAACTCGATAAAGTTTGTGATCTTTTAAATTAGATCATATTTTCAAGAGAACCAGCTATTTTAAATTTGAGATGAAAGTTTTCATATACCATTTAGTTTAAAGGATGTTTTAATTTAGGAAATGGAGTCATAAAAATATAATATCAATGCTACTGCCAGAAGAGACCACTCCTTTGCTTTCAGTGGAAAACAAAACCATAATAGAACATACACCATTTACGGCATAAATAATTTATAATTACATATAAATATATAAAAATAATTACAAGATATTTAAGGCAGGGAGCAAGTAAATATAAGTGAATAGACACAAAATTTCAGAAATAACAAAATACCTAATATCCAAAAATAACACATTAGAGTCCCTTATTAAGCCCCACCCCGTCCCCCGGTGGCTGCACTTTAAACGACTCTTCTCTCAGGGAGCCCCTGTAAAAACACCCCAGAGGCACACCTGCACCTGATGTATTGCTACTGAAGCCCAGGCGAGATTTGCTGTTGCAACCTGAAAAAGGAGGAGGAAACGCATTTTGATCAGTCACATGCAGACATCCTGACAAAGGACTCTAGCACGCATGTACATGAAGAATTTTCTGAGGCCACTGAGTATTTGGATATTTTGCCAAACAGAGAGAATCAAATAGGTACAAGATTTCTCGTTTACATTTCCCGCCCCCTTATAAATGAGTTTAACGTTCTCGTTCCTCTTAACTTTGGATAAAAAGCAAGATGAATTGCTTGAGAGAGCTATCATCCAATGATTTTCACATAAAATAATTATTTCTCAGTTTAACAAAAATACTATTAAAATGGCCTCAACCCCCACTTTACAATGAAGAATATTTCTAAAATTTTGCTGACAAGTTCTCAGTTACTAGCTCTTCTACTTCTTTTATTATTCATTCACTTCCCAAACATTCACTGGGTGCTTCCTGGGTACCAGGCAGTACTCTAGGTGCTGGAAACCTGGCACCACCACCACCCACCAGAACAGCTTACAGTGGACTGTGGGAGAGAGAAAGACGAGAAAGAGAATAAGGGAAGTGCACAGGGTCTTAGCTGGTGACGAGGGGCTACAGAGAATCAGAGGCACGACATGGAGATATGTGCAGTGTTCAGGAAAGGCCTCCTCCCTGACATGGCGACATGCGAGGACACTCCTGAAGGAGGCGGCTGGGGTGGGGACAAGGAGGACACGCACAATCCAAGCAGAGGGAGAGCAGATGCGGAGGCTCTGAGCAGGAGCCGGTCAGCCTTGCTCAAGGACCCCGTGTGGCTGGAGGGAGGGAGCAGGATAGGAGTACAGGCAGGGATGTGGGCCTCTGTGTACTGGGAGTGACAGATCACTGCACTATCTGGCTTTAGGGTCAATGAGCCAATTCTGATTCAGGGAATAGTGCATAGAGCTCATTGTTTCCAAATGTGATGCTGGAATCTTTGTTCAGGATATCCTCTAGGAGGAGGACTTTTTTTTTTTTTTTTAAGATTTTATTTATTTATTTGACAGGGAGAGACACAGCGAGAGAGGGAACACAAGCAGGGGGAGTGGAAGAGGGAAAAGCAGGCTCTCCGCTGAGCAGAGAGAGCCCGACGCGGGGCTCGATCCCAGGACTCCGGGATCATGACCTGAGCCGAAGGCAGACGCCCAACGACTGAGCCATCCAGGCGCCCCAAGGAAGAGGACATTTTTAAGAAAACATAGATAATCAGAATGTGAGAACTCTCTAAAGTCATCCTACTACTTTATTTGATTCACAATATGGCATACTTCTTTTTTTATTGTTAGAAAGGGTTCTTGGGGCGCCTGGGTGGCTCAGTCGGTTAAGCGTCTGCCTTCAGCTCAGGTCATGATCCCAGCGTCCTGGGATCAAGCCCCACTTGGAGCCCTGCATCGGGCTCCATGCTCAGCAGGGAGCCTGCTTCTCCCTCTCCCTCTGCCTGCCTGTCTGCCTACTTGTGATCTCTCTCTGTCTCTCTGTCAAATAAATAAAATCTTAGAAAAAAAAAAGAAAAAAGAAAGGATTCTTACTAAAATCAGTTGCTATATTTCTGATTTAATCAGTTTTCTCTCCAAATAATTACAAAACAAAAATAACGGTTTTTAAAAACCATCAAAACATTGTTAAGCAAATTGTGGTTTTAAATATTCATTCATTTATTAACTGAACCATATTAATGAGTGCCCTCAACAGGCTAGCCTCACCTCCTGATGACTCATACAGAAGGCTTCTTTGCCCCAGTGCCGATACAGCTCGAGGATACCAATCAAGTCACCAATTGCAGTGACAATTGGTAAACAAAGAACAGACTGGATGCGAGTCCCTGACTCCAGTCCAGTACCTCTTGGAAATCGTTCATCCTGAAAAATCAAAGGAGAAAAGATATAAATTCAGTGAAAGAAATGGAATCATTATGTTGAGATTCTTATTTCTGCCAGAAATTGCCTAATACTTGTAATAAAACATAGGCAGTCCTTTTCAAAGGAAAACCAAATGACAATGGACACTATAAACTATCTTTAAGAAAATGCTTATCTTTAGCAGCATGGCATCTGTTCACAGATACTGCTTTAGTGTTTCTTTATCCCTGTGCAGTAGAATTTAGTTAATCAATGAATACATATTCATTCCATGCAATAATAAAAGTAATTATGATGGCTAACACACATCACCTTCTATGTGCTGGAACTCTTCCAAGGGTATATAAATACCACATGAAGGAAAGTAAATATAAAAAATTGTTTCTCTTCTATTTTTAAGGTTAGAACAATACAGAAGTATTATTCTACATTAACATACACATACAGAAGTGTATGTTAATGATAGTCATTCTGATTGAATCCCAAAAGCTCACATTAAGTATTCAAATCATCCAATAATTATCAATTACGTGTGAAAAATGCAATTGGTTCTTTGACTTTAATAACTTTCTAGCTCAGCAAATCACTCAAAGGAATACAGGGAAATTGAATGAATTGATACCAAAGCACCAATTCTATTTATTCAATTTCTGTCTGTAGGAAGCTTTTCATAAATCAAGAACAGTACAAATATGTGTTTGTAATTTACAGATCTTTGGAAAGCCTGCATATACAATAGAACATTTTCAAATGACAAGTTGTATAGTATCTACTTTTAACACTTTAAAATTGAAAATATTTGACATACATTATGTAAGTTAAAGTATAAAACTGTTGATTTGATATATTTATATATTGTAATATGATTGCCATTGTAGTGGTAGTTAGCATCCCTATCATGTCACATAATTCTTTTTTTTTAATTTTATTTATTTTAGGGGTGCCTGCGTGGCTCAGATAGTTAAGCGTCTGCCTTCAGCTCAGGTCGGGCTCCTGGCTCAGCGGGGAGCCTGCTTCTCACTCTCCCTCTGCCTCTCCCCCTGCTCGCGCTCTCTCTATCTGTGTCTCAAATGAATAAATAGAATCTTTAAAAAAATAAAA